GGCTGGACTAAGTAGGCCCATTATCGTAACGACACGACATGTCATATTTCTACATAAGGTTTTTGACCACCATCTAATCGCCACCGCTTGTTGCATGAAACACCAATCCAGGTGTTAAAAGTTTTACAATTTTTAAAGAAATACATTAAATTTGAACATAAAACATGAAATCTATGAATTTAGTCTATTTGTTAAGGTTTTGTATTTCTTATCCACAGGATCCTTAAAAAACACTGAAGATAGATGTTGTCTAATTGGTTGTGTACTCCAGTTGTATGTACACAATGGAACTCGTTGTAGAAAATACCGCATGTTCTAGCCTTTAAAAGATATCTGTATTCTCATTACTTCTAATTTTGATACTTATAATCTTTCAATAAATGGTATGGGAAAGCGAGGAGAAAAATCATGTCTGTGCGTATGTTTAAAAGTTGTATTAATTTTAAATTTTTAATTGTTTTAATTAATAAAAAGTTTTAAAATTTTAAGGAAAGAATGAAAGGAAGCCTGGGGAGGTCATTAAACGTGTTTCAAAATTTTAAGGAAAGAATGATGAGATCCTGTTATTTAGATTTTTATCGTATTCTAGAAAACGTTAGATCATGTTATGATGAGAGAGTAGAATAGAACTGATCTCTGATCCCACACCCCTTAAACTAAACATGATATAGCAGCCGTATTTTAGGATGGACCAAACCAAACTAAACCGTTCAGGGAAATTGTAAGAATTTCAATTGGTATTTCGTGACTGGAGAATTTCTTGAATTTTGCATTTACTGCTTGAATTTACGATTGTTGGAAACTTTATACATGTTACATACACACTTTTCAGGGTCCCTTCTCTACATACACACTTTTCAGGGGCCCTTCTCTACATACACACTTTTCAGGGGCCCTTCTCTACATACACACTTTTCAGGGGCCCTTCTCTACATACACACTTTTCAGGGGCCCTTCTCTACATACACACTTTTCAGGGGCCCTTCTCTACATACACACTTTTCAGGGGCCCTTCTCTACATACACACTTTTCAGGGGCCCTTCTCTACATACACACTTTTCAGGGGCCCTTCTNGGTGGAGGCTAATATTGTGCTCTATAGACTGTACAGTGTACAGAGAACATTTATACGACATAAATTGTCCGACGCGAAAAGCAAATATATCCGGATACATATCAGAAATAAGAAATGTAAAACTAATTTTTTTTCCTCTCAATACATATTAAGTAAGCGGTATTACATATTACGTGACCTAAAGGGGTGTGTTAAAGATTTAATTTTTCAGAGGGTAGAAGAAGAACACATTTCTGAATACTCAATTCATTTTAAAAATTTCTAACACCAGTAGATTATAAGATTTTAGACCACATTTTAGTTTTTTGCAAACACATTTGAACATCAATTGTTGGTAATAAAGTTTTTTTCTTATTTATTCACTTTAATTTAGAACTGATAGTCTGAAATGAGTGTGTAGAGATATGTGTATAATTCTGACTGATTAGCGTAGATAAAACTCGACGTTTACAAGAATAATAATGTTGAACTTTAAACTTTTTCAGATTGTATCTTCCCTTACATAATCTAAACCTGAAGCAGGCGTATACAGAAATTTGTTCAGGGAGGGGGGCTTAATCTTTTCTGACATTCTTTAACTATATAGCCATATCAATAACCATATCTGAAGCCATAGCTATAACCATAGCCAAATTCACAGCTATAGCCATAGTCAAAGTCATTTGATTGCTATTTTGTATTTTAATTTAGCTGACTTAACTAATTGACTTAATTGTGAAATAATAAGTAATCATCAGAAATTTCATTTAATCAAAAATGGCCTTGGGGTTCATTAAGAAAGAAAAGGACAAAAACTGTAAAATACAATTCTTTTCTTATCTCTATGCCACAATAATTAATCAAAAAATACCTTTAATCCTATTTTCTTCTCGTCTAATCTCTATACCAGGATATCTTAGTATACATACAATCCCTTTATCCCTGTCTCCTTTATTCTACAAAGCTTTTAGTTAACAAACCCTTTAAACATATCTCCTTTATTATTCTACATGCCAAGAAAGCTTTTAGTAAACAAACCCTTTAAACCTGTCTCCTTTATTCTACATGCCAAGAAAGCTTTCAGTAAACAAACCCTTTAAACCTGTCTCCTTTATTCTGCATGCCAAGAAAGCTTTAAGTAGACAAACCCTTTAAACCTGTCTCCTTTATTCTACATGCCAAGAAAGCTTTAAGTAAACAAACTCTTTAAACCTGTCTCCTTTATTCTACATGCCAAGAAAGCTTTCAGTAAACAAACCCTTTAAACCTGTCTCCTTTATTCAACATGCCAAGAAATGATTTTAATAAACAACCCCTTTCAACCTGTCTCATGTATTCTACATGCCAAGAAAGATTTTAGAAAACAAACCCTTTAAACCTGTCTCCTGTATTCTACATGCCAAGAAATGATTTAGTAAACAAACCCTTTAAACCTGTCTCCTACACGCCAAGATTAGTAAATAAATTTGCTGGCCATTGCATACCAAACATTTTTGCAGTCAACCAGATGTTTTTGCAGACAAACAGACATTTTTGCAGACACCCATCCTTGCAATTTTATCAACAAACCATTATTGAAGTCTGTAGGAGACAAGGAAACGAGGAACAGCATGAAAGATACAACCAAAAACAATTGACAAATCAAACACTGTTAGAATTGTGGTTTGCGCTTTACAGGGGGGGGAGGTAGTTATCTTTAAAAACTGGAATAGAAAAGAGAATATAGGGGTTGATTGAGATTTTAAAAATCTCATTTTGAAATATTCGAAATGATCGTATTTAATAAGTTCCTGTGTAACCTACAGAAATAACTTTAACCGGAAGTTGAACTCTAGTTTCGGAAATAGAATATTGGAAATTTTGTAATTTTGTTTAAACAAGCATAAATAGCTAGCAGGGAGGTTGAGAGAGGAGGGGAAGGAGGTGATAGGTTAAGGGAGGGAAGTAAAATCTAACGTTTTGTTTAGTTTTGTATAATGAGAGGTTGCGTGATCCTGTCTTAAGAAGAATTCCCAAGAATTCTTTATTTATTATTGTTTTATTCTTCTTTCACATCTAATCATTCCATGATAGCTATATTCTCTAAATATGTAAATTCCTCTTATTTCTGACTTATACTCCAGAATTATCTTTAACATTTTGTTAATGTTTATTCACGTTGATTTAACATGATAAATTGAAATCTCAATTATAACTCTTTAAAAAAGAGCTTGAGATTTGAGAAAAAAAAACATAAATTTCGAACAACTAATAGGCAACCAAATAAATCTATAGGAGCCTTTCTCTTATTTTCTGTGCTGGTATTTCCCCTTTCTTAATTTCTTTCTTGTCCTTCCTCATTTTCTTAGTTTCCTAAGTTTCACCTTTGTTTTTAAGTTTCACTATGATCATAGTTAATTTTCATCCAAATATGGGGATATTTTTAGATCATACTAATATATTTATATCAGTATATAGCAGGGTTTAAGCAAAGAAAAGGTGCCAATTTTACAGTTTCTCCTTGTTTACTTGTTAACTTGTAATTGGGAAAAAAGATTTTTTGAAACCAAAACTTCAGTAGAAAAGTCGTCTTCATTGTATTGATATAAACGCAGACCACTCTACGATATCAATAAATTATGTCAGTTTTACCGATTTTTTTTACAATGAGACCCTTACTGTAGAAAACGAAAACGACATTTAAGCAATACTACAGGGTTACCTAAAGGGTGTCCCAAAATACATGGGAATTCAGTGACGAATTCGATATCGTCTTTTCAAATAATTCTTTGATTTAGTATAGTGATACCTACTGAGAAAGCTGTAATCTGTAAGAGTTTCGTCTGCTATGTTTACATTTTGTTTGTTTATGTTTTGACTGCATACGGTTGTACTTAGTAAAACAAGAAAATTACAGTATACAAACAGAGTAAACTTGTCCGTATTCACTGTTCATCTTGCGGAGACATTATAGACACATCTTTACAGTCTTTTACCCTTTTCATAAAATAAACTCTAGCAGACATAATAATATTATGGCTTTTGAAATTAGGTATTACAATGCTAATTCATAACAAAGACGATATCGAATTCGTCACTGAATTCCCATGTTTTTTGGGACACCCTGTATATAGGATGAGACTTCAGAGAAGATTGTATACGGAATTTACACTGTTTGTTACCTTACAAATATAGCTACCCCTGCTGTTGTAAACAAGTCCCTAGAAGACTATATCGCCGTATTTTGATACAGTATGTTCCCTAGACTATCCATTTCAATTTCGATTTTTTAAAGCTGTTAAACAAACTTTATAAAATGAATTAGGTGAATAAAAAACGTCATTTGTTTTATAGTTATAACGGAAAGTCATCGTTTGTAAAGTGAAAGGCAAAGAGTCTATGTGAAATGATCATTGGTCAATAATGAAACCAGCCTATTTCATAATTTGGTTTTCTTTTAATATTAATTTTAGATTTTCTATCCCAGGGCCCAAAAGGTTATATAGCATAAATATGTGAAGTACACCTGCAGTATGGAAACAGTACAACAAAATGGCCGTTTTACACTTTTTTCTAGTAAATTCCCCTCTTATATATATTCTATTCTCTTTGGAAAAATGTCTCCGTAGATGCTGTGTATTCTGTACTTTTGATTATTTGAAATCATACATTTTTTGTGCCTTACTGTAATATACGTGTATATTAGAGGTAATAATGCTGAAGTAAGTCTAATCTGCGTCAAAGTTCAAGCTAATAAACATATGCAGTACACACTGCACATTCCTGGATATGCAATGTGCATTGTGTATACATTTTTCAGCAAACACGTGATTTATCTTGCAGTGTATCATCTTTTGAAGTTTTAACCATTATCTCTTAGAATAACTATGATGTGGGGGGAGCTCTAAATACTATGAATGTCCATCAAACTAATTACACAAATCTCACAATAAGAACTTAGAGATGATCATGCTTCAAGTTTTTATATTTCCAGAATTCAAAATATACAAAAATCAACCAAAGACATCATTATTTATTCTATCTAAGTCGCTTTGCCTGTCTCAGATTTCGTCTGAAATAAAGGTTATATTTTTCTATTCCATCTGGCGTCTTATACATAGAGAATAGAATATATAGAGAGGAATTTACTAGAAAAAAGTGTAAAACGGCCATTTTGTTGTACTGTTTCCATACTGCAGGTGTACTATACACTTTGAACTCCCTTTCAGGCTGAAAGGGACTGAAAAAATTCATACCGAGAGATTCTTTTAATTCCTCTTTATATATTCTATTCTCTATGGTCTTAAATGATAAAAATATCCTTCGGTGGGTTCTATGTACAATGTACAATGTACATGTGCTTTCAGGTATATGAAACTATTTTTCTGCCAATACAAAGTGTGCAAAATTTCTTTGCAAACATTTAGCATATGCTTCCAAGTAAACTAGTCTGAATAAAGATTATGTAAAGCTTGGCAGAAGGAAAAAGACATTAAGGCAGTATATATGAGGATTCAGGCAGCATGGTGTGTAAAAGTGTTGAATAAAAATTCGAAATCCTTGCAGGTCAAAATGGGGAAGGGGCGCGGTTGATGCCCCCCCCCCCCCGTAGAAAAGAGTTAACGATAAAACGGTAAAATAAAAACTTCTAAATGCTCTTTTTAAAACAGAACTTTTCACGATTTTCAAAACAACTCCGCACATGGTGTTCAAGTAAAAATGGACAATTATGATTTTTTATCTTCTTTAATTCATATTTTTTTCTATTTATGCAGCTGCCTTTGTAAAGCTAAAAAATTTAAAGAGAATGTTTTTTTTTAATCACAACATAAAGTAAAATTTAACCAATACGATTAGATATTTAAAATTCAATTCAAGTTCCATAAAAATATGCAATAACATTGTTATAACACCCAATATTATGAAATTATAGGTAGTAAGTTAAAAAAAAATCTTAAATTAAATAAAATCTAAAATATTGAAGAAAAAATGTTGAACCTGATACTCTCTCCAATCATATCAGTGCTGAGGACAAAATCATGAATAGGGTACGTCGAGGGTAGGTTATACCATTCATCCCTCCACCATCCAGTTACATTTCTAGATAGATAGATAGATAGATAGATAGATAGATAGATAGATAGATAGATAGATAGATAGATAGATAGATAGATAGATAGATCGATAGATAGATAGATAGATAGATAGATAGATAGATAGATAGATAGATAGATTTTCAAAAATAAAGTGTTAAATCTAAATGAATAAAACCTGTTGACTGCATCCGCCATTTCTCTTAGTCCACTCCATCTTAGATTAAAATTCTTTCATTTTTAATAAATTAATTTCTTTTTCGGGAATTATAAGCGAACACCACCCAACAAAAAGAGTTGCCATTTATACCCCATTTCAACAAATATATAGACCAGGAACGCCCAACTCAGATATACGCAAATTGTGTACTGTACACTGTGGGAGGAATGTAAACAAATCCAGTGCCCCCACAGCAGTTGAAGAGAAAGGATTAAACACTGATAAACAGAGTGATGTTACAGTCAAAAACAAAAGAAACTAGTTAATATATTAAGTTAGTGCGGATACAAATTATTTATTTAAATATGATTTTTGGGTTTCAGATCAATATGGAAAATTTATTC